TGGGCGGTGTGGGAAATCACAGTGGATATTTTTTGAGGTTTTTTGTCGGTGAGACAGGACGGCATGTAAAATGTTCAGCTCAGAGGGTCAACTAAAGCTCGACTGCGTTTGTTTTGTGGACATTTGTTGATCCCAGCACTTTGTGGGGTTGGGTTTTGAATATTGTTCTTTCGTGTTGATCCCAGCAAAAAAACTGAGAAGCACAAAGAAAGACAAATTATTGAAACAATTGGGTCTAAAAGTATGCTTAGAGCTGCTTATTGTCTGGGACATATGAAAACAAACGGCAGGCTAGAGATTGGAGGTAAATTTATTGGATTTATGAGTGATAAGTAGGGGGGAAATATAGCCATGATCTGGAAATAGACCAGAGCAGAACAGGCTGAAGAACATACATATTTTTTAAATTTCCACAGCTAATGGTCACGCTGCTCCTGCCTCTTTAACCCATCTTCTTCTAACCCTTTTGCATAGTGCAAGCAAAGTGGTTTATATGAGTAAAGAATTTCAAACAAGACATTTATTTCATTCCATATGGTAAATGGCCTGTATATGAGACAGTGACGTATACAAACATGCCCTTAATGGCTGAAATTCTCCCATAAGGTTTAATTAGATTGTTTAAAATGCTGAGTTTGCAGGGTTTGTCTCTGTTATGGCAATTTGTCTGAAAAGTGTTTGTTTTCTGACTGGAAATGATTTGCATATTGAGATATTGTATTTCTGGAAAGAAAGCAATCTGGACCCGGCCAGCTTGTGAATGTAGGCCCAGTATTGATTTTGAAGGCAGGGGCTCACCAGGTGAGACCTATTTTAGCTTTGATGATAAAACCCATGTCAGTCAAATCTGTTAGGCTCCCTATTTGTGTTGGTCCTAAATTGGAATTAAGAAAATCAATTCAAATTCCACAAATTGGTTAGAGAACATATGGATCCCGGTTTTCACTTAAAATTGTTCTCCATCAAATCTATAGGCTATTACTATGGAGCTATTGTATAACTTCTGGACAATCCAATAGGCGGCCAGGTTTTTTGAGCCTATTACCATACAAATTCTGTCCGGGGAAGGTGGAGTATGCCTTTTAAATGCCCTCATCAACAATATATTCCAAGTTATGCTGTCAATATGCTACATCAAATGTCGTCAGCCCATTTGAATATTAGCTTTATATTTTCCCGAAGCCGCACTCCAGTTTTTGAAAGAAGCATGGAATTCATTCTGATCTCCAACAAAGTTTGCAGAGACCTCCTAAGGCCAGTGCAAGAACTGAGAAATGTGCTTTTACCCAAGGCTGCAAGAACAAGGTTCTTTCTAGCCAGGACTTTTCATCGCGACTTCAGTAATATTCAACAGCAGAATGACTGATCTACCAACCGAGTCACAGTTGTCCCCCCATTCCCCGTAGAGCTCTCCTACTGCCGCACACAACCTTTATATTATAAGGCATGACAAATAAGGTTCTCAACAACAAGCAGCAAGAACAGAGTTAAGTCGTTTTGGTCTTACAGCCTTGCAAAAGAGAACAACCTCTGAAGTATGCTTTGGACTTCATGCAGGTGTGAAAAAATTCTGAATTATTCATAATTCCTTAAAAGGCTGGGTTTATGCTGTTGGGATTGAAGCACTCGTTTTAACCAAATCCTGGGTCAAAAGTTAGGAGCTAATTTGTTGGACCAGAGAAAAAGCTAGAAGGAGCCTCACTGTTTCAAAGTTTACAAAGAATCAGATTTTACTGAACCCCATCTACAGGAAGAAATCAGTAACATTAAGCTGCATAACAAGGTTGAAGTCAGTCGGTTGTTATTGATTTACGTTCTCCTCATTAAAGTTCATTCGCTTAAGCTAACGTTAGCCCATTGCCTGCTAAATGGTTAGCATGAGCTAGTGGGACCTATGTTTATCATACTCTGACCTGATCATAAAGTCAGTACAGACAGAAAATATTTATTGACTTGCTATATATTGAGTACTGATTTATACAAATTCAATGTATTTGTCATTTTTTTTCAATCACTGAAACCCAAATATTTCTAGTTTAGTAATCCGTTTGATTCATTGTTTTGCTAAAAAAAAAAAAAAAAAGCTCCGTGGGCTGAATCAACCTCATACCCCACCCTCTATTCAATCTACCCATGACAAGAGCGGACCATATCTGACACAGGCATGGATTGGCAAAATAACACAAATTACATTGATTTAGTCCTGCACCTTTTAGTTGATATATTCCTTTTCCTGCTATTTGACATTTGTTATGCGACTTAAAATGATGTATGTAACCTCTAACACACTGGTCATGTTCCTTCAGCTCAACCTAGTGGAGTAAAATTGTGAAGTGGGAAATCAAAGTAAGCCAAAAGTGACAAATGTACAACTATTTTAAATCAAACTATAGCATAGATCAGAAGCAAAATAATTGTCAGACATTCAAGAAGCTTTAAGTTCTCACTTTTTTGTTTGATTGTTTTTAATTCTTTTATTTTACTGGGGAGAAATTGGTGCCAGTGATTGCTTAGCACCTTTTAAAACTACAAATCAGAGCTGAGCTATGCCATTGGCATCGAAAAGAGCTTTCATTTGGTGTACGGTAATTGGATTCCTAAATGTGACTGAGAATACTTGGACAGACTCTCAGACAGAAAAACTAGTGCTAACTGAAAGACTACTCAACAGAAATGGGAGACCAACAACTAATCCAATTTTTCACTCTGAAGACATTGGCAAAAGGGTGAAATAAGTTCCTCGTGTTTTATTTTCTAACTTTTTGTGCTGCATAGATCTGCACTGATGACTGCCGAAAAGATTGTTTCCACATCTGTTCATGAAAACGCTGCTGGCATTTTGATATCACTTCAGTGCCGTAGTAAATCCTGCTCCGAACACTGTGTCTTAACAGTGAGACCCAAAGTTCTTGGAAAAAAAAGAAAAAATTATATATATATATATATATATATATATATATATATATATCACTTGACCTTAGTAGATAAAGTGCCTTTCTGTACTATGGTCCTCCCAAGAAATTTAGAGTACAACAGTGGAGGATCAGACATTTATGTATAGAGAGACTTTAAAAAATATGATGATGTGGCACCATGCTGGTCATCTGGCTTTGGAAAACCAAAGCGCTTCTTAAATGTTTTATTGATTTTTCACAGTAAAGGAAGGTAAGATCCAGCTCTAGCACCAGTTGTAGAATGGGAACAGAGGGTATGTAGTTTATCTTCTTAAGTAAAACACTGTTTCACCTGCATTAACTTCAGAGATTCTTTACATGGATTTTATTTATTTATTCCCCTTTTTGCTACACTCCAAAGCTTTCAGGTTAACCTCAATGGCTGTTTTGTATCTTGAGAGTTTAGTCCTTCATTTAATGCAACATATATCTAAAGGAAAAATGTTATTCCACAGGATGTAAGTCATCAGATTCCTCCTTTTGGACAGGTTGACAAACTGCTACAGAGACAGGAACTTGGCAGTTCGCTTAAGACCTGGCAAAGATTCACAAACATGGACAATGGGTGGCCGAGCTGGCTGCCACAAGACAGAGCAACACAAGGTTGAATGTTATTTCCAGAGACACTAGGCTCTCTGGTAAAAACATCATTAAATTACTGCATCTTCACATCATAAATGGCTAGGAAGCTAGGAGGCACAGAGGCAAGGTTTGGTGCTGCATAAAGGCTCAGAGAGGTACATTAAAATTTATGTATCTTAATTTTCAGGGTGGTTGATTAAACAGCAAAATATGAAAAAGTGACAAGGTTATTCTTTTAAGCTACAACCTGACAAATTAAAAGAAAAAAAAAATCAAATTTCAGAAGCCAGCATACGACAAATTTACAATAACTTTATTTTATTTTGCACCAAGATTTTTTTTTTTCTTGATTTTCTTGATTTTGTCCACCAAGAGCATAAAAAAACAAAACAAAAACAAAAAAAAGCGTAGTTTGTTAGGTTTGTAAAGCATCAGTATAAATAAGTAATCCATCTAATGTCTTGTTTCTTCCACTTTCCAGATATGCAAAACAAAATACACGCGAGTCTGCAGAACTCATCACAGCGTCTCCCGCAGCCACAGCAGTCAACGTGCAGCCATGGCGAGTAAATGTTAAGTTCTGTATTCTTTGCAAAAATGTAATTAGAACTGCCAGTATTTGTAATTTGTTACTGCTGTAAGCAGTCTGAACAAGATCCTTTAGTAAAAAAAAGAAAAAAAAAAGTCAGAGAAAAAAAATGTAACCCAAAGGGTGCAGCTTCTCAGCTTTGTAAAAACACAGCTTAAAATTAGCATCTTCATTTTGAATGAGGAAAACTCATTGCATAGTAATAATACTTAAATAACTCAATAAAGACACAATTAACTCAGTTGCTGGCAAAAAACAATAAAAAAATAAATAAATAGCACCACCGGAATTCAGTAGAAGCATTTACCTCACACTAATTGCTGCATAAAAGACATGTTGTACTTGTGCACTCCAGCTTTCTGATATAGACATGCAGAGTTTTATGTGCATGCAGCAGGGAGCAAAGACATTTGCTCCCAGATCTGTCAGTTTAAGTGGTTAGCCTTGATTGCACTGGATTTCACTTGCGTGTATGTGAAACACGCTGAAGTTTACGAGATGCGAATACCTTTACAGCAAGTTGCCGAGAAGCGAGCGATGCTTTTGATTTCACAGTAGGCTCGTGCATGTAAGTGGATGGTGTGATGTGATTGTGGGCATTTGGCGGAGTAGGAAACAGGTTGAACCACAATGAGAGAACAATAAGCACCCTTTGAGGCCAGTTAATCATCTGAAGATTTAAAACAAAACAAAACAAAAAAAACATACATTGTATATCTTTCCTAATACAATATCTTTCCCAAACTCGACACCTCACCTTTCTAATTTCTAACCACTACTAAAATTTCAGCTAAAATCTGCACACTCTCACTCATTTATACATATACTTCTCCATAAAACCCTTTGACTATAAATCTCTATGCAGACGATCTGAGCAGCTAGTAAAAATAAAATAAATGCCACTTCTCTAAAAATTGGATTACATATGAAACAAAGTAAACAAACTTTGGATACTGAAATAATGATTTCTGACTTTTTAATATAATTGGGATCACTGGCTTGATGGTCATTTATAATCATCAAACTACAAAAACTCATTGCAAAAAGACTTTCCACAGACAGCTGCACCTGATCACTTTAGTGGAAAGTTGACTCAAAAAAAAAAAAAAGATGAAGATGATATCGAGCACACAGCGATTCCTTATGGTCACAAACTTTAGGGAAATGCAGATTACCAGATTCGTTACCTGCTCACATTTCCAAAGGTTTAAGGATTTAATGATCATAATAGCACTGTGTTTGACTGGCCAGCAAACTCTTGTGATACGCAGCACCACTAAAACAACTTTACTTTGAGTTTTAAAACTCTCAAACTCACTTTTGTGCCCGGTTTGTGGATTCAGTGTAGCACCTGAATCTTCCTTCTGAAAAGCCTCAAATCCTCCTTTTTTCTTTTTTTTTCTTATAAAAGTGCAGATTTTAGAATAAATCACCTGCCGAAGTATAAAACAAATTGTAGGAAAATGATGAGGGATGAGGGCGATTAAAGCAATCAATAATGTGAACGTTTGAAGTGAATTACAAAGATCAAAACTCTTCATCTGTGCCAGTGATTTCCCTTATTCTGTAGTCACGCAGCTTTTGTTGATTAAAGCTGCTGACGTTTCCCTTTTGAAGTATCTATTTTCTGTTTTTTTTTTCTTGAAATTCATTTTTCTCTACCTTGCAATCTTGCCAAAGATGAGAAATGGTTCCCAAGCCCCTCCTCCCTTGCACCCTTTTATTTTATTTTCTTCATATACGTCTGCCTGTCACTGTGATAAATTCATCTGAGGGAATAATACTGGTCTGGGACAGGACAAATGTCTGTTCTACACTCGCCGAGGCCTTAAAAGGTGCTTTTTGATGGGTTTCTGAAGAAAAAGTGAAGCAGGTCAACCAACACACGCCATCGAAGAGACAGTCACAACAAAGCGCTGACACAGTTTTTCTTACACACAACTCAATCCTCCCACAAAGACATTGGCATGCACGGTTTTACACATGCAAGGCTTTTCTTTATTCCCATCACTTAAGAGCATCATGTCATCAGATGGATAGGGGTGTGTGGGGTCTCTGCGTGTGTGTGTGTCGGGGGTGGGGTCAGGTTCCTTCACCTCCACACTGACGAAGACTGATGCTGGGTTTTAGACGGGAGTCATGTGCTTCTGTACGTCCAGCCTCAACGCGAGGGAGTGCTATTTATGGCTGCAAGAGATTTTGACTATAAAAGGGAGCAAGTGTAAAGAAAAAGCAGGAACTTTGCATAGCCTGGTTTTGAGAAAAGTCAAAATCTATCCAGTATCTGAGATACTGCACAGCACGTTATGTACTTACCTGGGAATGTTAAGAATCATGTTAGAAACACAAAACGGAAAATATAACCCCCGTGACTACAAAATCACTAAGAAAGTAAGGTTTATTAAAAAAAAAAAGTTAAACTTAATCATTAGTCAGGGTAAAAAGGATATTTTTAGAGACCCATAAGTGATTTATTTATTTTTTTCAAATCATAAATCTATCAATTTTCCACCGTGTCTTTAACGTACAGGGTAAAATCTAAACTATAATACACAATGATTAAAAAGAAGTGTTAAGGTTAATTTGAAAATTAACATATTTAAGGTAATATATTTATTTTTGTCCTTATTTATAAATAAATATAATTTAAAACTATTATTTAGCTACATGGATACTTTTTAGAGCCTAAACCTAATCAACTTAAAGTGTTGTGCATGAAAAGATAAAAAGACACCCCAGCACAGTGAAAATGTCATTATTCAAACCAATCATAATTTTCAGCAAAAATGATACTCTTTTAATCTTAAATTTTAAAAAAAGAAAGACCAGCAATAAAGAGAAAGTGCCAGATTGTTTTAACATTTTTTTTTTTGTGGATATTCCTTTTACCTGATATGAGAGAGGTGGGCCTCAATAGCAGCACAAACTCCAACCCAACAAGGGTTGAAAACACTCATGCGATACAAAATTTGCCTTCCTTTGTGGTGTAAACCATCTACCAAAACCAGGTGAGCGTCATTCATTTTCACTGGGACTAAAACTTGGAAACTTAGCGTTTGGTTAGAATTAATTTTCTTCTAGAATCCCATCCAGGACAGAAAACAGACACAATGCACAACTGCACATTGGGAGGCCAAAAAGACGAATAACAAGGGTTTCCAATCTAATGTTCACCATCATTTATTAGAAAATGTTCTTTTTTTTTACCTGAGAGAATCCTTCAATAACTTTCTTTACCCAGTAACAAAAAGTCATTTGTGTTCGTGTGTGCGTGCATGCTGATTGGGTCTTGCCGGTGCTCTCATGGAAAGGTGTATTAATCCCCACAAATGTGTGAAGGACTTTCTGATTAGATGTGAAACTCAATGAGTTATTGCACGTCATTATAAATTATAGTAAACTTTAAATAATTCTTTTAATATTTTTCTTTTCCTTCTTTTTGGGGTTAAAAATGTTTTAAATATACATAACCTTATATGCAATTTATAAATATGTACATTTTAAGAAATTACCACAAAGACTCTTCCCTTTTTATTGTGTTTGGGCCATTCAAAGTGCTCTTTATGTTAAGTACTAGTGTAAAGCTAAATCAGGTCGGTCTTAAATCTTCATCTCAAAAACGTGAACATCCTTTATATCTACGTAAGTGAAACCGATTCAGAATCAAAAGCATTAAGGTTTTAAGTAAACACAAGCTAAAGCACAAATCTAAGAACTAACATTACATTGAACTAAGTGACTGTATATAAAGGCAGCAAACGGGATTAAATTTAGCTACTGGTCCTAATTTTAAAATCTAAGTTTCTTGATGCACCAATCCCATTAAGGAAGCATGAGCAGAACCCGAGCATGCACGCGCACACCAAGACTCGCGCATCTCACTCTGAGCAATTCACAGAAAACAGCACATCTCGTTGAGTCCTTGTTTTCCACAACATCCCAATGAACCCCGCCTGCTTCTGTGGGATACGGACTGCTGGAAAGAGCTCCTGCGCCTCAGGACCGGCCAAAAAAGCTGGGCGAGAAGGCCATCTCCGCTGAGCAGTCGGGATATGTGCCCACACAAGAGCAGCGAAGGTCTTTGGGTCATGCAAAGAGCCTCTGGAATTCAAGCCAGGCCAAATTTGATTTTAATTAGTCAGACTGGCTCGTTGTTACAGTGAGCTTGTCTTTCTTTTTTTGGGAAAAAAAAAAAAAAAAAGATTTAGGAGGGGAGATTGCATAGACATCTTGCTGTTTGCATGTCTCAACAAACTCTATATTTGGCATACGGGGAGGGACAGGGAACCAAACACAACCAATAAGAAAACAAAACAAAACAAAAGACATTTACAGACAATCTTCACCTTTGTCCAAAGCATCAACATACGAGAATTGAGCAAAATTAGTTGGGGCTGGATTGAAAAGTTTCTCTTTGAGCTCAGTAGATGGTCTGCGGATGGAAGAAGCACCAATCAAACGGCCAGTTTTTCCGTGACCTATTTACTTAACCCATCATCAGTAAGGATACTGACGTTATGGATACTGAGAGTATCCATAACATTATAACTTTTATAATTCCTTTTGTGTCAGATACAAGAGAACCGTATGTTCCTTAGAGAATGCCTTAGCAATTGCCATTGTAAACTTGAGTGCATTGTATTATAAGTAGGATTGAACTGGACTGCATTTAACTGAATTGCAATCTGATTGGATCATACTGAACTGATTATATTTATAGATATAAATTGGGTCTTTTTGTTTTCAAACTTCTTTGATATGACATTTGTTGTGAATTGGTAGTTAAAACAATGGAAAGTTCAAACTGCTGTCATCATCTAAGACCCCATTTACACTCCATTTTATGTATCAAGGGCAGAAAAGGGGGGGGGGGGGGGGGAAACATCCTCCCACACCCCACACAACAAAAAACAAAAA